CAGCCGCTCAAGTCACCGCGTCTCGTTATTGGCGCTATTTAAACCAATGTTGTAAAATGACTTCTGCCCAGCCCAGATGTGCTCACTTGTGCACCCGTGAGCCGTGGTTCAGCCGGAACGCGTCTGACCTCTGACAGACGCACTCTGAACTTCAGATCGTCAGCGCGCTGTTAATAGCCTGAATGGGAATAATTTCTTGTTATTTTGTTACATCCACAATGTTCTGTGTGTGAGGTTTACAACGTCAGAACACCTGCATGAGACAGGGTGTTAATTACAATCTGCCAGAATGACTCGCCACCTTCAGATTTCTCCAACACCGTTAAAAATGATCAAATACGGAACATATTGGCGTGCGCAGGCCAGAGTGCTGAAGCTCGGCGCATTGTTATTATGAAGCTAGGGCACATGCGGAGGACACGCACACACACACACACACACACAAGCTAAATATACTTGTTTTCAATTACATTTATTGGGCCCACTTACTTTTTCTTTGGCCCACCCACAAATGAGTTTCTACGCTAATGGTGACATATGACAGACTTTTCTGAGCTCCGCAGCCATTACATTTTTCACCTCGCGCACCCCCTAGCGGCAGCTCGCGCACCCCCAGGGGTGCGCGCACCACACTTTGGGAATCCCTGATGTATGTTATGAGAAATATATAGACAGATGTACAAAACACTATAACCATATACATCACAAACAAAAATAATGATGACAATACAAAACAGCTTATTAAGTTCCAAAAGGAGGTGGAACGAGGTTTAGTCCAGTATGAGATCAGTTTAGGTTCATGGACCTGGGATAGGTCATGTGTTAACGTTTAGTTTGGTCCAAAGGTTCGCAAATCCTATCGCAATACAGCGGTGGTCGGGTGGCTCGCCATCCCGCGCTGATCAGGGCTGATCGCGGGAAAAAAACCTGACCTAAACAAGGTCAAAAACATAAATAATCATTCACAGAAGAAAATGAAACAGCGTTCAACTGCTATGACAAACTAAATAAAGTTAAATAATTGATGCCATATGTTATACAATAATCAATAAACCAATAACCAAACCAATCATATCTCTTATAATGACTATCATTCAAAATACTATTACAAAATAACATTCTCGTGGGTCCCATCAAAGTATATCGGCAATAAAGCTAATCAGTTAATCAAACATGTTTTTCTCACATAATCACAGGTGTTGCGCAACAAGTTCAATTATCTAAATGGAATTTAACTCAATGCAAAAGTCGCATCGGCCGTTTTGGCATTTAATCAGAAATGTAACCAAAAACATCTAAAACGGACCAAACTACAAAAATGAAATCACTCGTTCGACTCTTGATACGTTAATTCAACATTCGGCCGTAGTGGAATAAACAACAACAACAAGGTTCGATGAATAAAACTAGTAGTTGCACTTAATGTTACTAGCCTTGCATTAACTTGCCAGCATTTTAGAATGCGCTACCGCGGCTCCCTACTTTCATTAATTATGACCAAACAAAACGAACTAATAACTCACCGTTGAGTCGATTGTGAGGTGGTGTAAAGATGAATGAATCGGCCGGGTTATTGCACGCTGTCAACTAGTATGCAATGTAAAATCTGTCAATATCTGACAAGTATGCCAACCACAGGGACAACAGCAGCCAGGTAAGCAGGGAACATGCAGCTGATTTACCCGGAACTTATACAGGGTTCATTCCCGCCACAATAAAGGGATTGGCGGAAATGGGGTCAGAAGTTATTGTGGTTACACCCGCATCACTGCAGATACAGCACCAATTCGCCTATCGATCTCACGCTCCAGTTTTCCCTCACTCTCACACCCTGCGGGCCCCCTTTCTAAATAAGGGGACCACCACCCGGTCCGCCAGTCCAGTGTAACTGCCCCTGATGTCCACACGATACTGCAGAGCCGCGTCAGCGAACACAGCCCCACAACATCCAGAGCCTTAAGGAACTCCGGGCGGATCTCATCCACCCCCGGAGCCTTGCCACAGAGGAGCTTTTTAACCACCTCAGTGACCTCCGCACCAGAGATTTGAGAGGCCAACCCAAAGTCCCCAGACTCTGCTTCCTCACTGGAAGACATCTTCGAAGTATTCTGCCCACCGATCCACAACGTCCTGAGTAGAGGTCAGCAGCACACCGCCCCCACCAGTGTTGGGAACGTTACTTTAAAAAAGTAATTAGTTATAGTTACTGATTACTTTGTCAAAAAAGTAACTCAGTTACTAACTGAGTTACAAGATTATAAAAGTAACTAATTACCAAGAAAAATAACTACTTAGTTACTTTTTTCATTAAAGAATGCAAGAAAAATGGGTGAATTGAACTTACTTAATTTACTATAAAGTACTACAATAGTGAAATATAAATGACTAATGACTGGAACATAATAAAATGTCCAAATGTTTTTATAAACCTGAATAATTTAAATAAATATGCACTTAACAGGAGGAACTACTAATAGGAACATTACACTAATCTAGACTATTAAAAGGTCACTGTGTGATATTTAACAAGACCCCAATCAGCTAAAATGTAAAATTGCAAATAGAAACACCTGTAAAGGTTCCTGAGCCTTTAAATGGTCTCTCAGTCTAGTTAAATTACAGAAATAAATGTAATTTTGCACAGCATTTTAATTTTTCCAGCGTCACATAATTGTGTGTTTTTAGCAACATTTCTGTTGCGGGTAATCTAGTAACGGTTAAATAAATAAATAAAATCCTTTAAAATGACACTAGAAGAGGCACGAGCCTGATGGAGGACTTACATTTACTAACGTGGGTCAGACCCAACCACAGAAGAGCTGAAGCTGGGTGGTGAACACACACAGGTAGTTCTAATAACACCTGAGCTCCATGACGTCTGAGACTGATGCATCAGTGTTACAGCGGGACTAAAGACATGATCAGAAACAGGTCACAGCTGGAGGATCTAGGAAGGTAGAAGATCAGGACGTCTGAGCGGTGAACAGGTGAGCGGACCTTCGGGACGTCCCGCTGTCACGCTAAGAAGGGCACGGCTGCAGACCCGCACCTGCAGCCGTAGACTATTCATCACGTCTTCCTCGTTCTTCACGGCCGTGATGCGCTTGGATGGAAACATCTACCTCTTTAGCTCCTGATCAGCTGATGACAGCTTCAACACACCGCGCTGCTTAACGCACACATTTCCTTATCAGTACCAGAAACGCCGTTTTGTTAAAAGACGGTAATTAATTAGTTTGCTCGTTACTGAAAGATATATTTTTTTTATTAACGTGGTTATTTTAAACGGCGTTATTCCCATCACTGCTCTGTTGTGTCTACAGCAGGCAGCGACTGAGACCGTGAGGGTCTCCTCCCACCCGGCCAATCATCATGGTGTTTGTAAGTGCGTTACCGACACCTCTCTCTCCCTGGCTGCAGCTGAAGTGTGGCGGTCAGAAAGCCTCACACTGCTGCTCAACGTTCGAAAAGCACATAGTAACGCACTTCCTTACGTCCCCAGTAACGGTAACGGCGTTGCAACGGCGGGAAAAGTAATTAATTAGATTATTCCGTTACCTAAAAAAGAACGCCGTTAGTAACACCGTTATACTTAAACGGCGTTACTCCCAACACTGGTCCCCACTATAGATAGTGTTGGTAGCGCACTGCTTTCCCCCCCTCAGGCGCCGGATGGTGGACCAGAATCTCCTTGAAGCCATACGGAAGTCTTGCTCCATGGTCTCACCGAACTCCTCCCATGCCCGGGTTTTTGCCTCGGCGACCACCCGAGCCGCGTTCCGCTTGGACTGCCAGTACCCGTCAGCTGCCTCTGGAGTCCCACAGGCCAAAAAGACCTGATAGGACTCTTTCTTCAGCTTGACAGCATCCCTAACCGCCGGTGTCCACCAGCGGGTTCGGGAGTTGCCACCACGACAGGCACCGGTGATCCTGCGACCACAGCTCCGGTCAGCCGCCTCAACAATGGAGGCATGGAACAGGGTCCATTCAGACTCAATGTCCCCCGCCTCCCCCGGAACATTCTGGAAGTTCTGTCGGAGGTGGGAATTGGAGCTCCTTCTGACAGGAGACTCTGCCAGACATTCCCAGCAAACCCTCGTGATACGTTTGGGCCTGCCTGGTCTGACCGGCATCCTCCCCCACCATCTGAGCCAACTCAACACCAGGTAGTGGTCAGTTGACAGCTCCGCCCCTCTCTTCACCCGAGTGTCCAAGACATGCGGCCGCAAGTCAGACAAAACAACAACAAAGTCGGTCATCGAGCTGCGGCCTAAGGCATCCTGGTGCCAAGAGCACATATGGACACCTTTATGTCTGAACATGGTGTTCATTATGGACAATCCATGACTGGCACAGAAGTCCAATAACAAAACACCACTCGAATTCAGATCAGGGGGGCTGTTCCTCCCAACCACACCTCTCCAGGTCTCACTGTCGTTGCCCACGTGAGCGTTAAAGTCCCCCAGCAGATCGAGGGAGTCACCGGAAGGAGCGCTCTCCAGCACCCCCTCCAAGGTCTCCAAAAAGGGTGGGTAGTCTGAACTGTAGTTTGGTGCATAAGCACAGACCACAGTCAGAACCCGTCCCCCCACACGTAGGCGGAGGGAGGCTACCCTCTCATTCACCGGGGTAAACCCCAACCTACAGGCACCAAGATGGGGGCAACTAGTATGCCCACCCCTGCTCGGCGCCTCTCAGTGGGAGCAACTCCAGAGTGGTAGAAAGTCCAACCCCTCTCAAGGAAACTGGTTCCAGAGCCAGAGCCATGCGTTGAGGTGAGTCCGACTATATCTAGTCGGAACCTCTCAACCTCACACACCAACTCAGGCTCCTCCCCCACCAGAGAGGTGACATTCCATGTTGCTCTGTTGTTTGAGGTTTTTAGATGAAACTCCAGCAGATGCTTTACTTTGACTCGAAGCAGAAAACACAAGCATGGCAAATGTGTATTTTATAGTAAACAAGTGGTCTGAATCTGTGCTGCGACCTTTGACCTGCAGGTTTTCTGCGCTGCATCATGCTGCCCTCACAGGAACCACAGAGCTGCTGTCGGCGCTGGTGGAGGCTCATGCCACTGTGGACATCAAAGACAGTAACGGTAATCTGATTAGTGAAACCTCCATTTGACGTCTGTTAACACCTTTTATTACATCATGTGTTCTTTAGAAGTTTGGAAAGAGAACCTTCTACAAAAACGTTCCACCATTGCGTGATGTGATGTGTTTTGCTGTGCAGGAATGCGCCCGTTGCATTATGCTGCCTGGCAGGGGAAAGCAGAGTCGGTCCTGATGCTGCTCCGCTCTGGAGCATCAGTTAATGGAACCTCTCAGGATGGGCACATCCCTCTCCACCTGGCTGCCCAGTACGGACACTATGAAGTGGTGAGTCGACTGAAACTCAACCTCCATCATGTTAACAGATAGATGCAGGCTCACTGGCAGACCGTACACTGACTGGGCTCAAACTGGGTCAAACATCATCCAAAAATGAAATAAAATTCCTAGTGACCTTCAGGAATTCTGGGGGAAAGTAGAGAGATAACAACTGGACCAGGAGCTCTTAAATTAGCTGGTGGAAGGGAACGTTGTTCTGCTGAAACCCAACAGCCCGGGTCTGACAGCTGATAAGATGTGAGTGTGATCCCAGCTGGTTACAGATGGGCAGACCTTTGGGTGGGTGCGGGGCGACTCTGTTTGTGAGCCCGTGCTGTCAGCTGCACAGATGTTCAGAGGTACTTTTTTAATGTGATTGCGAGCTTTTGTTCTGGTTGTGGGTCAGATTAGGAGGAATGTAGGTGAACAAAACCTGTCCTCATTTTCATTTGGAGAAAATTCAAATGTTGACATGAGTGTGATTAAAAAAACAATATCTATGATCTGTTTTCTAAAGATTCAGCTGCTGACCGGGAACGTTCACCCATAAATACGAAAATGTCAGGTTAAATTGTTTGGTTCTGATCCAGTTTGTTGTTGACCTGCTGCCTGAGCCTGTGGTTCTGACTGCATGTTGTGCTGATGTTTCAGTCTGAGATGTTGCTCCAGCACCAGTCCAATCCATGTCTGGTCAACAAGACCAAGAAGACACCTCTGGACCTGGCCTGTGAGTTTGGACGAGCCAAGGTGAGGATTCTGAGTCGGTCTCATGGTCCAAACAGTGTCTCTGAATCCTGTAGCTTCAACACCAACAACATCCGGGTCGTTGAACTGACATGACTTTGTCTCCATGGTAACAGAGACTGTCTTTGTGGCAACAGATGCTGTGTCTGTCTCCATGGTAACAGTGTAAACACACTGAGCTGGTTCTGTTTCCAGATTTCATTTATTCATTTCCGTATCACTTCATCTAGCACCAACTAGAGGAGCACAAAGTGCTGAACATGAAACACAGACACATCTGACACAGTAGTATATAAAGAGTAATAACAGTAGATTAAATAATAGAACCTGCTGTCAGACAAAGGCCGAACACCCGTTAGAACAACAGAACAATAAAAGGATAAAAACCGTTGACGTCATCGAACCCTAACCCTAAAATCTCACTAAGTAAAGGCGACCGAACTAAATGCTGCTTCAGCTTAGCTTCAACACTCTAATGCTGCTTCCACATCTGGCCCGCTTCGGGCTGGGTGGCGTCGGTCCGGGTCTCACACTGGTAGGTCTTGTTCACACACACTTCTCAGGAATGTGAAAATCTCCTAGCATGTGGGTGGGACAAAAGACGCGTGTCTCCTTTAACCCTCTGGGGTCCACGGACAAGTATCCGCGTCTTTAGATCAGGTCTGATTTGGGACGCTGTAGCAGCAAGACTCCGCCTCCCTGAGTTTCGGTTTCAATTCAGCTTTAAAAAGGAGATTATAAACCACACCCCAGTTTTTAAATGTTGTTAATAGGCAACGTAAAAGCGGAGTTATACTAAACAAAATAAACGACCTATTTTTAGACAATCTGACAACTTGTCAAACAGCAGTTTAGTAATCCGTGAGCGGGAACGTGCTTGTGAACATAAAAAACCCACAAAAACATGAGATCCTGTTGCTGTTGGTGGAAGTCTCACATATAGCATCATGACGTAGCTGAGAGAGAGAGGAAGGCTGCACGAGTAACGAGATGTGCGCAAAAAGGAGCCGCTTGGTGGGAACGTAGTAACAACAAACAATTAAGACAGATGTTGACGGTAAACTTCATATTTTGGAGTGATCCGGACAGATCTATTGTCTCTGCAGTTTAGTAGGCTTTTACTAGGCTTTAATAAAGGATGATGAGAAGGATAAATGTCCACCAGGCAGTTCAGATAGTATGGCTGCTTTTTGAACTGGAAGCAGAGGAAGTGGGCGGAGTCTCACAGCCGAAGTCTGAGGCAAACAGCGAGGATGTTGATGACGATGTGGCAGATCCATCCGTCCTCATAGAAGAGTTGGGTCATGATGAGAGGATGAAGGCAGAGATCCAGCTCCTCGGAGATCCAACGAGAGGAGTGGGCGGCGCCGCACAGCAGTCAGATCTCGATCTCCGCGGCGTGAGACCGAGCCACTCCCCACTCCAAAATGCATGTACATTATTGCCTAATTAATAAAATAAGTATAAATTCAGATAGTCCAGGTTGTCCTGAAAAAAATGATACCCCATAAGGCAATATTTATTGTTTTTATTAGAAAATACAAAAGAAAAACCAAAATGAGTCAAAAATGGTGATTCACACCCTGGACACCAGAGGGCTAATAATTTTTTTAAAATTAGTTATTTGCTATATTTAGTCATATCGTTTATAAACGTACAGTCTAGATTACCATTCTAAATGATAAAAAACACTCGTCATAAATGTTTGTTGGTTTCACAGTAAAATAAACAACTTTTTTTCCAATTCTGATTTTATGTTTCTGAGTGATTTAAGGTCTAATATGCAACCCTTTTATGTCCAAATATAAAAAATAAGTATAAATTCATAAAGTCCAGGTTGTGCTGAAAAGATTGCTACCACATAAAGCAGTGGTTATGGTTTTTATTTTGGAAATAAATAATATTCAATTCAAGTTTATTTATATAGCGCCAAATCATGACAAGAGTCGTCTCAAGGCACTTCACATAATAAACATTCCAATTCAGGCCAGTTCATTAAGCCAATCAGAAATAATGTTTCCTATATAAGGAACCCAGCAAATTGCATCAAGTCACTGAACTATACAGCAATCCTCATACCAAGCAAGCAAAAAGCGACAGTGGAGAGGAAAACTCCCTTTTAACAGGAAGAAACCTCCAGAGAATCCTGGCTCAGTATAAGCAGCCATCCTCCACGACTCACTGGGGATCGAGAAGACAGAGCAGACACACACACACACACACACACGGACAAGTAATGTGTCTATAGTTATATTATGATGTGTTAGTAAATATTCTATTTGGTGAGATAAACTTTATTGTATTTATCCTAGTGGATCTATAATTAAGCGGATAAACTAGTAGTAGCACATCCAACGTCAAGGAAATCAAAAAGTTATTATCAGGAGAGGGAGAATGTATTAGTGGTTAGCAGCAGTGTGCTAGACGATGGCCCCCTCCATGAGGCCGCCACAGCTCAGCAGAACATCGTTGTAGCTTCTTCTGGGGAGAAAAACACTTAGAGAGAAAATAAAGTTAACAGCTGAATTAGCAGGAAATAATACAGTTAAAGAGCAGATTGTAGAATAAAGCAGTAGAGTGTGAAAAGTGGTCAGTGTATCCTCCAGCAGTCTAAGCCTATAGCAGCATAACTACAGAGATAACTCTGGATAATCTATCCTATTTAGATGGAGGCATGTTGGAGTCAGGGCAAGGGAGAGTCGTCTTTACCGACTGTATACTCCACCTCCCTGTACTCCCCCCACTTGTTCAGATTTAGGCTAACATCAGATTTTAACTATAGGCCCTATCAAATAAAAATGTTTTAAGCCTATTCTTAAAAGTAGACAAGGTGTCTGCCTCACGGACTAAGGCTGGGAGCTGGTTCCACAGGAGAGGAGCCTGATAACTAAAGGATCTGCCTCCCATCCTAATTTTAGATATTCTGGGAACCACCAGTAGACCTGCAGTCTGAGAGCGAAGTGCTCGGTTAGGAATGTATGGAACAATCAGATCACTGATGTACGATGGAGCTTGATTATTAAGAGCTTTATATGTGAGAAGAAGGATCTTAAAATCTATTCTGAATTTAACAGGTAGCCAATGTAGGGAAGCTAAGACAGGAGAGATATGATCTCTCTTTTTAATTCTCATCAGAACTCTAGCTGCAGCATTTTGGACAAGCTGAAGACTTAACTACATTCTGTGGACTTCCTGAGAGTAATGAATTACAGTAATCCAGTCTTGATGTAATAAATGCATGAACTTGTTTTTCAGCATCACTCCTGGAAAGGATGCTTCTAATCTTAGCAATATTCCGAAGGTGGAAAAAGGAAATCCTACAAACTTGTGAAACCTGGGATTTGAATGACATGTCCTGGTCAAAGATAACACCAAGGTTCCTTGCTTTGTTCTCGGAGATTAATGTAATGCCATTAAGGTCAGGCGATTGGCTAAGCAATTTCCTTTTCTGGATTTCTGGTCCAAAGATGAGAACTTCCGTCTTGTCTTGATTTAAAAGCAAAAAGTTTAGAGTCATCCAACTTTTTATGTCCTCAAGACAAGCCTGTAATCTACCCAACCGATTAGGTTCATCAGGGTTAATGGATAAATATAACTGAGTATCGTCAGCATAACAGTGGAAGTTTATCCCATGCTGTCTAATGATTTTACCAATTGGGAGCATATATATAGTAAAAAGAATTGGTCCAAGCACTGAACCCTGTGGTACTCCGCAAGTAACCCTGGAGTATGAAGAAGATTTGTCATGTACGTTTACAAAATGAAATCTGTCAGACAGGTAGGATTTAAACCAGCCTAACGCTGTTCCTTTGATCCCTACAACATGTTCAAGTCTTTCTAAAAGAACATTGTGATCAACTGTGTCAAAGGCAGCACTGAGATCTAACAAGACTAGAACAGACACAAGATTCTTATCTGAGGCCATGAGAATATCATTTGTAACTCTCACTAATGCAGTTTCAGTGCTGTGATACTCTCTAAAACCAGACTGAAATTCCTCAAACAGAGCATTAGTGTTTAAATGCTCACATACTTGGATGGCCACTATTTTCTCCAGGACTTTGGATAAAAATGGAATGTTAAATATTGGTCTATAATTCATTGGGTCATCTGGATCCAGAGAAGGCTTCTTAAGTGAAGGTTTGATTACAGCAACCTTAAAATCCTGTGGTACATACCCATTTACTAAGGATAGATTGATTATATCTAGAATGGGGGCAGTAACCAAAGGAATTGCATCTTTAAATAATTTGGTTGGGATTGGATCCAAAATGCAAGTTGAAGGTTTAGATGAAGCTAATATTTAAGAGGGCTTAAAAAAACGATTGATTAAGCACGGGGGAAAACCAGGCTACCAATATGTGAACACTTTATACCATACTGTATCTGGGCAGGGGGCTGGCCCTAGTGGGAAAGCGGCTAATGTGAGGGTGGCCTCTGTCTTTGTTGCTCAGATTCAAACAGTTCAGTTGGGCTTTTTATTCTGAAGCATCTTGATGAGATAAATCAGAAGCGATGCTAAAGAAATCTGGTCATTGATAAAGTTTTGTTCCATTTCACCCAAAAGCTTTAAAACTCAACTCTTTTCTGTTTCTTGCTTCGGTCGTCTGAAGTCAGATGTTTCCTCTCGGTTGTCTCAGTCTGAGCTGTCTCAACAGTTTAGGTCTAGATCACATAGAGCTGCCGGAAGAGATCTCATAGCAACTTAAAGGCTTTTTAATAAAAATAACAGACTTTGCTAGTCAGCTGACTGGTTTTCACATGTTGGTTTTGAACCCAAAGGATCATCCAGCTGTGCCTTCTTCTGCCAAACATCTGGATGTATTCAGCGTTTCTCTGAGTTATTACTTCACACCTTCCTGCATTTTCAGCTGATTCCCTAGAAAACTGGAACTTTAAAAGATAATTCTCCAGGTTTGGGTCAGATGTGCAGCTTTTACTCCCTAAAACACTCACACTCGGTGTTTTAGGGAGTAAAAGCGTACAGTACACACTCACACTCGGTGTTTTAGGGAGTAAAGGCGTACAGTACACACTCACACTCGGCGTTTTAGGGAGTAACGGCGTACAGTACACACTCACACTCGGCGTTTTAGGGAGTAACGGCGTACAGTACACACTCACACTCTGCGTTTTAGGGAGCAACGGCGTACAGTACACACTCTCACTCGGCGTTTTAGGGAGCAACGGCGTACAGTACACACTCACACTCGGCGTTTTAGGGAGCAACGGCGTACAGTACACACTCACACTCGGCGTTTTAGGGAGTAACGGCGTACAGTACACACTCACACTCGGCGTTTTAGGGAGCAACGGCGTACAGTACACACTCACACTCGGCGTTTTAGGGAGCAACGGCGTACAGTACACACTCACACTCGGCGTTTTAGGGAGCAACGGCGTACAGTACACACTCACACTCGGCGTTTTAGGGAGCAACGGCGTACAGTACACACTCACACTCGGCGTTTTAGGGAGCAACGGCGTACAGTACACACTCACACTCGGCGTTTTAGGGAGCAACGGCGTACAGTACACACTCTCACTCGGCGTTTTAGGGAGCAACGGCGTACAGTACACACTCTCACTCGGCGTTTTAGGGAGCAACGGCGTACAGTACACACTCTCACTCGGCGTTTTAGGGAGCAACGGCGTACAGTACACACTCACACTCGGCGTTTTAGGGAGCAACGGCGTACAGTACACACACACTCGGCGTTTTAGGGAGCAACGGCGTACAGTACACACACACTCGGCGTTTTAGGGAGCAACGGCGTACAGTACACACACACTCGGCGTTTTAGGGAGCAACGGCGTACAGTACACACTCTCACTCGGCGTTTTAGGGAGCAACGGCGTACAGTACACACTCACACTCGGCGTTTTAGGGAGCAACGGCGTACAGTACACACTCACACTCGGCGTTTTAGGGAGCAACGGCGTACAGTACACACTCTCACTCGGCGTTTTAGGGAGCAACGGCGTACAGTACACACTCACACTCGGCGTTTTAGGGAGCAACGGCGTACAGTACACACTCACACTCGGCGTTTTAGGGAGCAACGGCGTACAGTACACACTCTCACTCGGCGTTTTAGGGAGCAACGGCGTACAGTACACACTCACACTCGGCGTTTTAGGGAGCAACGGCGTACAGTACACACTCACACTCGGCGTTTTAGGGAGCAACGGCGTACAGTACACAGGGTTTTGCACATTTGTGTTCTGTGCTTAGAAGGTTTAAGAAGTTGTGACGAATGTTCAGGAAATATTTTTTTAGCAAATGTCTCAATGGAAGCGGATCTGCTTTCAGATTTTCTGTGACCGTCTCACGTCCCCCTCCTCTCAGGTGGTGCAGCTGCTACTCAGCAGCAACATGGTGGTGGCGCTGTTGGAGGGAGAGAGGAAGGAGCAGACAGACTCAGCCTACACCACCCCGCTGCATCTGGCAGCTCGCAATGGACACAAAGACGTCATACGGTGATAAAACTCTCCATCGCTCTCAGAGTTCACCGGGAGAACGTAGATCATTTAGCTGCTGCAGACCTGCACACGTAGGAGACCACTCCTGAGGCACAGCTGACCAACCAAAAAAGAGATGTGATTATTTCCAACCCGAACTTTAGCACTCGGGATTAAACTTGGTTGAGAACAGAGAACCAGCTTTGTCCAAACGTAGTTTTCTAATTTCCCCTCAGCTGTCCTAATCTAAACGTCCCGTCTTCGTACGGATGTTGTCTCTGTTTTCATAGAAAATCTGATGTTTGGAAAGTGATTTTAAAAACAACAAAGTGATGGAAATCAAGGGTTCAATGGAAGTGAAGAACATTCACATCCATCAAACTAAAGTCTTGGCTCTTCTTCTCAGAAGTTAAAGGTCAAACAGTAGGGCTGGGCGATACGACCTAAAACCAGTATCACCATATATCGAGGATTTCAGCTCGATAACGATGAATGGACGATAACTACAGGTACAGGCGTGGAAACAAAAGTTGTCCACTACATGGGGCTGTGGCATGTTTTACGTTGAGTGACTCAAGGTGCTGCAGCTTCTTAAAGGGACAGGAACGTCGCCAACCCACACACCTTTTCATTTTATTACTATCAAATTTATTGACATGGGAAAATTATCTCGGTAAGAGTCAGAAATTTTGATAACAATAAATGTTTGATTGATTGCCCAGTCCTGGGTCCAGCTGAACCACGTAAAAGTGAACTGTCTTTTTATGTAGATCTGATTGGCTCAGAGCACCAAGGTCACACCCCTCTGGTATTACTGGGTCTTTAACATTAGTTCTAATGTAATAAAACACCAAAACTGGTCATCGGAGCTGTGAGGAGATTCTGACTGTTGTTGCTATGGTTACGTCTCAGAGCTGAGACAGCAGAGCGGGAGGGAAGGTTTAGCTCATCTCTCGCTATAGAAACGTTCTGTAGGTGTTTAGTGATGACGTGCTGTAGTTTCTGGTTCCATTCCTGTCGAACCCCGTACGTAAATGTCTACAACACCATTCTAGCTTCATGGGTCGCATGTTTTCAACAACGCCCAAAAAATCAAAAGGAAAATGTTCATGATGGTGACATTTGGGAAGGCCGTTGTAAAAATAGTGGCAAGAGGAACTTCAGATGACATCGGTGCTTCTCATTAGAACAGCACAGCTCTGGTCATAAATTCTGTGTGTGATCTCCTCAGGTTGCTGCTGAAGGCCGGCATCGACATCAACAAGACCACCAAGTCTGGAACAGCTCTTCACGAAGCCTCGCTGTACGGAAAAACCGAAGTGGTCCGACTGCTGCTGGATGTAAGGTTCTCTCCAAGTACCCAGAATGGTGATCAGGTTCTGACTGATGCTGTTACGGTATTAGCATCCTCATTAATATGATCCAGACCTCAGAAAGCAGTCGTCCTGCAGGCTGAACGCGTCAAACTAAGATCAAACGTTAGAGTCATGATCGTCTGCTTCAGACGTAATCTCCTCTCAGTAATCGAGTTAATCTGTGGAGTTTATAAACTCATCATCTCTTCAGTCTGGGAGGAGATGAGGTCAGACTGAAGGGTTCTCTCTGTTGGAGGACTTAGAACTGAGAATGTCTGAAACAACGTGCAGATTAGCAGGCAGTCCAAGTCCGGTCGGGAGGGGAGCTGTGACCTGGTTGGATCACACAAGTGGAACCTCTTGGAGAATTTAAATGTTCCATGAAAGAGGTGAGCTGAGTAGACAGGAAGTGTCAGTGATGTGTGTTGTCGCCCATCCAGGCCGGAGTGGACGTGAACATCAGGAACACCTACAACCAGACGGCGCTCGACATAGTCAACCAGTTCACAACGTCACACGCTAGCAGGGACATCAAGCAGCTGCTCCGAGGTCAGAACTCTACACACGCACTCACCTAGAGGATTACCAGGACCACCACACTAACACGGTGTTTGACCCCTCTCGCCTTCAGAACTGCCTAAATTCTACATGGCGTTGAATCAACAAGGTGCTGAAAGCATCTTTAGAAATGTCGGCCATATTGACAGGACAGCATGTTGCAGCTGATGGAGATGTGTGGGATGCACATCCAGGGCACGAAGCTCCCATTCCACCACATCCCAAAGATGCTCTATCGGGCTGGGATCTGGTGGCTGTGGGGGCCGCTGTAGTACGGTCAACTCATCGTCATGTTCAAGGAACCAGTTAGAGATGATCGGAGCTTTATGACATGGTGCATTATCCTGCTGGAAGCAGCCATCAGAGGATGGGTACATGGTGGTGATGAAGGGATGGACATGGTCAGAAACGATGCTCAGGTAGCCCGTGGCATTTAAACCATGCCCAGTTGGCACTAAAGTGTGCCAATAAAACATCTCCCACATCATTACACCTCCACCACCAGCAGCCTGCACAGTGGTAACAAGGCATGATGGATCCATGTTCTCATTCTATTTACGCCAAATTCTGACTCTACCGTCTGGATGTCTCAACAGAAACGGAGACTCATCAGACCAGGAAACACTTTTCCAGTCTCCAACCGTCCACTGTTGGTGCGCTGGTGCTAACTGTAGCCTCTTGTTCCTGTTAGTAGTGGAGACGAGTGGTACCGGTGGGGTCTTCTGCTGCTGTAGCACATCCGCCTCATGGTTGTGCGTGTTGTGGCTTCACAGACGCTTTGCTGCGTTCCTCGGCTGTAACGAGGGTTAGGCTCTTCCATCAGCTTGAATCAGTCGGCCCGTTCTCCTCTGACCTCCAGCATCAACAAGGCATGTTGCCCACAGGACTGCTGCATACTGGATGTTGTTCCCTTTTCACACCATTCTTGGTAAACCCTAGAAATGGTTGTGGGTGAAAATCCCAGTAACTGCACAGATTGTGAAATACTCAGACCGGCCCATCTGCCACTAACAACCACGCCACGCTCACAAAAGCTTAAATCACCTTTCTTTCCCATCCTGACCTTCAGTTTGTGTCGTGGTGGGGTTTACGTGCTTGACCCAAGACATGCAGAATCAACACAAGAGACAAATGTACAATTAAACCAAGGTTTTATTAAATGGTGCACAACTAAGGACGCCCCACACTGGGAGATGCAGGGGGAGCAAAACTAGACCTGCAAGTAGATTCTGGATTAGGAGGAGGTCTGGTGGTTTGAAGGTGGAGGAGGAGTGGAGGTCTAACTGTGCTACTGGGGAGATGGGATGTGGGGAGGTCCGTTAGGTCTGAGGTGGCAGGATCCAAGTGTCCAGTGGGGTCGAGATAAGGGTTCCAGAGAGGGGTGGATGAGCAGTGGTGAACGGGACTGTGGGGAGGAAGATGCAGGCTGAGGAAAGGTCCAGGGGTATGGCTGGAGGTGTGAAGTTGAGCAGGATCTAAGAATACAAGACGCAAACCTCAGGTAGAGTAATCAGTTATATGAGTAGAGACGAGACGAGACGAGACTGCGCGGCAGGAGAATATCCAACTGGAGAGACCCGTGTGGAGTAATCAGCCGGCGCTGAGCGGTGGTCTCCCTCCTCCTTAAGCCAGCAGTGATGATGGATCTGCTGCAGCTGGTCCCGTTCAGACACCGCTCACCTGGAATGGCTGCTAGAGGCTGATTAGAGGATGAGCTCACCTCAGACCATGACAGTTTGGAGTTCAGGAGATGGTCTTGACCAGGACCACACCCCTAAATGCACTGAAGCAACTGCCCTGTGATTGGCTGATGAGATAATTGCAGTAGGGAGTAGTTGAACAGGTGTTCCTAATAATCCTTTAGGTGGGTGTAGTTTAGTGTTTTTATTTTTGTTTACAGCGTAAACAGGAAACGCTTTCTGCTGTGATTTTCACCTCTGTCAGTAAATATGAACTGTTGTTGTTTGTTTTATTATGTTTCAGCTACAGGAGAAGCTTCAGAGTTTTGTTAACTGTTTAGTTGATGTTTTCTTACAGTAGTCTCCCTCAGGTGGCTTCATAAAAACGATGTTTACCCTTCAGCTCCGTGCTCCAGCTTCACCTGAGTGTACCAGCTGTAGGTGAACCAGCAGCTGTAACGCTATGGGGTTATGTAATGCTAAACTCTTCATCTGTCAGCATTCACAGCTTCAAAGAGCACATCCAGCCCAAATCCTGAAGCTCCGTGTGGAAACGGAGCGCTGCACTCTGTAATCCTGCAGCCTTTTGAACTTCCTGTGGGAACAAACTCAGGAGATAACGAGTGCTTGTGTTGGAGAAGTGGTTTCAAACATAGGCCAGACGTTTCTGTCCTGTTCACAGCTTCAGAACGAGGAGATGGAGAACTTGTGCATGCTCTGCCGGCTCGTGCTAAGGATGAATTATTGATGAGTCGTGTCAGCTGCTGCGTTCAGTGCGAGGTTGCTGGTGGTCACGGCGTCTGGGTGGAGTGAGTCAGGGTTGTTGGAGAGAATCCTCAATAAATGTGTTAACATGATGTGGTTCACAGCTCCTATATGCAGGTGTTTCCATTTAGCTCTGAATAATAATAATAATAATCAGGTTATTCATGTTAAAACTTTAAGGAAAGTGAGTATATTTAGGAAGACGTTGATTCAACCCGCTGTGCTAAGGCCTGGTTTGGACGTCCTGCAGATGTGGTCCGGACCGGCGGACCCGATATAGACGTGATCCGTACGTCCATGTGACGCTGACTGGGGAAAGGGGAGACCTGTTTTTTTTCTGTTTACAGTTTTAAATCAAACCTCGTGTAGCGTGATCAAGTTCTGATCCGGCCTCAAACGTCCGATCTGGGTCAAGGACTGAGATGATCTAAAACCCAACAATCATATTTTCTTATGTCCCTGAATGTGTTGTAGCTAAGCGCTAGCTCATGCTAGCAGCAGCAGATCTTCATGTGGAAAGTTTTACTTCCAAAATCTGAATTTCTTAAGTTAATCATAATTTTAAAACATCCATTATTTTATTTCTTTGAAACAAATTGTAATCGGAAGAAAAACCAGTAACATTTTACAATAAGGGTCCATTTAATACCAGTACTTAGTACGGTATGTTATTAACGTTCCCATTGTTGTTGGTTATTAAGTGGGTGGTATCTGCATTACTTAATATTAACATTAACATGAGGTAGTTGTTAAAACTTGATTTAATAGTTTATTATTGCTTAATAATGCACTAAGTAAGATTAATAAAGGTACCCTTAGCGACAAGCTCATCAGTTGGGCAGACTCTTTTAGAGTTGGTCTTAAGATGCACCGAACCGGCTTTAGAGAGCCGATACTCAATTATTAAATATTGGTCACTTCTGAAAATCTGATTTTTAAGTGAATTTTAGTGAGTTTTGTGTTCTAGCGTTACTTTAGTTTACTCTGGACTAAAACTCTGGAATGGTTCGGTCTGGTTATTTTTGGACCGGTATGTTCCGGTGTGGGTCTGGAACTTTCAGACAAGCGTTTCGATCGCAGTTTGGGTCATCACGTCGGCAGGTGGGTTAAAATAACTGTCATGCGTGTTTTTTTTTAAGTTGTGCAGCTAGTCGGTATTTCTGTGCTGTAATAAGTGGCTACAGAGCTAAAGATGAAAACAAAGTGCTTACCACAGCCTCCACATGTGACTCCAGAGTCCAGAAGCCTGCCTCGCTGCCTCGGCCTACGGCATAGCATCCCGCGCGTCGTAGCAACTCCGTGTATTTCTCCCATACGAAGAAAAATCCGCTCCGGCTGTTTCTGTCCTTAACTGTTAACTGTATTGGGCTTTAATTCCTTCATCTTGGCCCGACACTGTGCCGACGTCCGCTCTGATCCTTTGGCTGCCATCCATGAGGAAAAAAACTACCAATCTGCCTAGCTCCTCCTGTGGACTGTCGCCATGACGATGAGAAATGTACGGCACTCTGAAAGTGACCACGACTTGCCGGCATCTATTCACATTCATGTACAGCTAACGAAAATACAAACTAGGGAACTCCGTTTGTTTTGCTTGTTGCAGGTAGTGATGTATCTCTGTCAACCAATCAGTGGACTGTGTTGTTGCTCCACCCTCACTGTACCGCTCCAGAATATTCTGTACCTACAGCAAAAGGGAGCCAAAAAAGTCCCATGTCTGGCTCGGTCCGGGTGGGATGTCTGGACTGGTTTTCCAATTGGAACAGAAAAATTAGCGACCGATCCCTCCAATCCCATGCCAGTCTGGGCGATGGAAGAGGCGTGAAAGAGCCCAGTGTGTCGGATCAACGTCTCTCTCTGGGTCTTTCATTTCACGTTTGGATTTGTTTGCTGATCGGATCGAGCTCTGTGCCGCAGCGCTCCTCAGTGTTCAGATATTTAGTTGTGATGAATTTTCCACCTTTGACTGAACCTTTTCTCCCGTTTTGTGTTTTCGTTTCCCGGACAGATGCTACTGGTATTTTGCAGGTCAGAGCTCTGAAGGACCACTGGAACCTCCACGACCCGACGGCCCTCAATATCCGAGCAGGAGACGTAATCACGGTGAGTTGTTCAGAAGCTTCTGGGGTTCTGGTCGTAACTGTACCACCAGATACCTGCTGCTGCTTCTTTGTGTCGTTTTACACCCGGAGCTTCGTCTGGTGGAGGTCTGAGGTCGAAGTTCAGGTTTAGAACCAGAAGAGAAACTTCAGTAAAAACCAGCTGGACCTCATTGTGAAAGTTTTGGCTGATGTTTCACCCAGCTTGACAAAATTAGAGTTAAAAAATCAGCTGATTTCCGAAAAACTGGAGCAGAACCTCTTCTACAGAACTTCTGTTCAGAACTTGTTTACGGACCCACTCTGACCCCTGTTGACCCCTGCAGGTGTTGGAGCAGCACCTGGACGGACGCTGGAAGGGCCACATCCATGACAACCAGAGAGGGACGGATAGAGTGGGATTCTTTCCTCCGTCCATCGTAGAGGTCATCAGCAGGAGGAACGGTCAGTCCTCCAGACATCACCTTGTGGTTCTGCTTCCTGGAGGAGGAAACACGTCCAAACCCAGACTTATTGTCCTCCGCTGCAGAAAGTTATAAGAAGTTAAATCTTGTTGATGTTTATTGGACATGAAGTCTGATCTACGTTTTATGCAAACCAGAACATTTAATAATCTTCTGACCGTTTGGGTTTGGGTTCATGTGAAACTGATGGGGTCAGATAGATGGTGAGGTCATCATGGCTCGCTGAAGGAACAGGAAGTGATGTTTTGCTCCTGTAGGTCAGAACTAATCCAGCTGCTACCAGACCATCTCATGCTCTAGTTCTCCTCCTCCCTGCACCCATCATTCCATACCACTAATGACGGACCCCCCCACTCTAACCATCCGCTTGATAACCTCCTCCTCCTCTCCCCCCTCTCTCCCCCCTCCCTCCTCCTCCTCTCCCCCCTCTCTCCCCCCTCCCTCCTCCTTCTTACTCGTAGGGGGCACCCTGTCCCGGCACGCCTCTCTGCCCACCCAACGCCAGCAGCTCCTCTCCAGAGCCCCTCCCTCCTCCGGCCTCAGCCCCACCCCTCACACCGACGATTCCTACTGTCTGTATGCCCCGCCCACCCACGTGGTGCTGCCGCTAGCCAATGGCCTCACTACCTGCACAGGTATACCACACACTCAGGACACACACGTTTGAGCTTCTGGAAGCCCGTCAGACCTGCAGCACAGATTCTGGGTCTCATTCTGCAGTTCGGGTCAGAACCGGATTTGAGTAAAACTTTAATGTGACACGAAAACTCAAACGCCGACGCAGAATATTGATCCTACTAATAAACTAAGCTCTAACTGGTTTTATCCGGCTGTAAAGCTAACCCGATCTGCAGCCCTGCAAATAAAAACCATCAGAGACCCGACTGGCTCCTCCTCAGTCCCCGAAAACAAGCCGGTCCATCCGAGTCTTTGTTTCTGATAGGTTTGTCTCCGAGCCACCTGTCTCGCTCTGGGTGTCCCTTCGAGGACATCTGGGTCCTCAGGGCCTCGTACAACGGTAAGAGCCCCCTCCCCCAGAATGAGAGCTTCCCCGCAACGGCTGCGCTGAAGCTGCACCTCTGCCCGGCTCTGCATCAGGACCCCACACACCAAGACCACTAAAGACCAGGCTCCACTGCAGGGTTGGCTCTCGTCTCCAGCATCACAATCTCAGGGACCCACGGGGTTAAACCTCACGGCTCCCATCTGTTTCTAACTGTGTGCTCGTGGTAAAACATTAGTTAAGGTTTTAGGTTCCCCCAGTCAGTCAAACGTGAGGAACTGGGAACAGACCAGTCCACCTGTACACAGATTTGTTTGTTTTTTCTTTCTTTTATCTGAAACTGCATTTTAATACTTATGCCCGCCACTAGGGGGTGCTGTTTTGTCCTGGCTACAACTTCTGAGTTGCATTCAAGTATCTATTTAATACGGTTGATAGATGAACCCTAACCCCTTTGTCTCACCTGTCGGCCAGGTGAGTTAAAGGCATCAGTGGAGAAAACTGGATCAGGATCTGATGAAGCCAGCAGAGTCAGTAGTGAGAGGATGTTTGTCTTGGTGCGTTGGGTCCAAACGTCCTGCTTCCTGCTGACACCAGGGCCTCCTGCAAACCGTAACCCTGCCTCTAGGGGGCGGCGCCAGCTCATCCTGCACGATGCAAGATGCTGCATGTCGTTTTAAAACTAGCAAATGTTATAAAGCTGAAACGGATTTTTTTGGGGGGGGGGGGGGGGGGGGGTGACATGTTTTCTGCATGTTTTGAGACTTTTGGTCAGTGAAACTGGAGGCTGTGACTCTGACAGGAATCCGAGTCAAAGCCAGAAGCAGGAAGCACTTCTTCAGCCTCACATCTCACCAGTAGTTAGTTTTCCAGCTGCCGTGTAAACCAGGTGAAACATTAACTCTGATGTTTTATGTAGGAGAGGGTCTAGTTCCAGACTTTGGACCACCAGGCTTGTCTAACAAACGTCTCTGGCTGCTCTCCTCCAGCCTCTCTGCATCCCCGGCTCCCTACAGCCAACAGAAACTTACCGTGTGTTCTTTGCAGCTGGGGACAGAAACAGTGTTGGGAGCACCGGCAGCGTGGGCAGCACCCGCAGCGCTGGCAGCGGGCAGAGCACAGAGAGCAACAATGCCACCAATGGACACCGGCCCAATGCTGGTCACCATGACAACAAGGTATAAACAGGCCAACACTCATAGACAAACCAAAAGCACAAAAACGTCCAGATATCTGCTCAGGAGTCCAGGAACCTTCAGAAGAATCGCCATGCTTGTTATTAAATGAATGAGCTGATGTTAGCTCGGGTCACCTGCAGACGTGCGGTCTTCCTGCTCTGGAAGGTGAACTTCATGTAAAAGGTTTAGATTAAAATATGTATCCGTTCACCTGAATCAACTCCCGTCTTGGTTCAGCGTTCAGAACAACTTACTAATTCTTTACTGGTTTTCAAAAGAGCCTCTCTGTCACACAGACATAGGTTGACGTGCGGGGACGTCTAGTAGATGAGTTGGGAACAACAGCAGTCGGTTGGGCTCGCACACCAAACACACGTCGCTACGACGCAGACACGCTGGTGGACTTTTACATTTCCAGTGTGATAATAATAGACTTCTACGTGCAAACATGAATCCTGATGTGATCAGATGTTCAGGTTCTGGAACAAGGAATTACTCTGATGATGTTCTCGTTCCCCCAGCTGGCGCCCCCTGCTGCTGATCTCGGACATTCAGCAGATCACACACCGGCTGACCAGCCTCCAGGTCTGTCTCTCTATCTTCTACTGTGCCTAGAAATGGCCGACCAGAACCATCTCAGAACTCTGTAAAACTGACTGAAAGAGGACTCCCAGAGGCTTTAGATTGAATTCATGTTTGAAACAAACATTTATAAGGTTCCTATGAAAGCACGATGGAGTCTGAGGATGAACTTCTCCATCAGAGAGCTGGTTGTTCTGGGAACTCCTGTGAGGTTTGATATTTCTGCTCCGGGTCTCCAGGTGGAACTCCTCGGAGGCAGACGGTGACGGTCCAGCGTCCCACAGAGCCGACCTTTACGCAGCAGTTTGTTCGTCCTCAGCAGCTTCTGGAGGGGAAGGTGAGTGGGCCGTGCTCTTCCTCTCAGGGTCCTTCGAGGGTTTCTGGTTCTACCAAAAGATGTACGCATGTGTTGTGTGTCCCACAGGACGCTGAGGCCATCTATCAGTGGCTCAGCGAGTTTCAGTTGCAGCAGTACACCGGAAACTTTGTGACTGCCGGCTATGACGTGCCAACCATCAGCAGGATGACCCCTGAGGTAAACGAGGAGTTTAGACCCAGTGATTAAAACAAGGGCCATCATTTATCAAACGTTCGTAGAGATGGTCTTAAATCCCGTCCTACTAATGAAATGTAGAATGTGTGTACTAACGGTCAACATCCCGATGGCCTCTCGTCCGCATGCTCCTCCACAATCGTCTGATGCTAAAATCCGCCTGTGCGTTCCCAGGCGTGTGTGTGATCGGTGAGCAGAGGAGGTTCTGGGTTCTCAGTTGTAAAATGAAATTTGAACTTGTGCTGATTATCTGTCGCTCCACAATGGCTCCCAAGTCAGAGCATAGCTCCAGAAGGAGCTCTGGGGAGATCCGTGAGCTCATGAGTCCTCAACACAGGTCAGCCATGATGTGTCAGACTCCTGTCGGTCTCATGTGTTGGTTTTAGCACCAGTTGTGTGAAAAGGCTGTTTTTCCACCGACGTAATTATTTATTGGGTATGAATGAGGAACATGGGTGGACGTGTGAGACCTTCAGTGCTGCGGTTCCCCCGCTCTACCTCCAGATGCTGTTCCTGCGCATGGTCAGAGCTGCTCTCGTGTTTAGGAACATTTCTACGTACAAATTGTTAAATATCACAATCGGTCCTACGCACGAAAGACGTACTGATCTGTTTGTGAGTACGGTTAATGAATGAGGGCTCGGGACTCTGATCTGGTTTCTTCTCCCTGCAGGACCTGACCGCCATTGGAGTGACCAAACCTGGACATCGTAAGAAAATCTCCATGGAGATCAGTAACCTGAACATCTCTGAGTGGCTGCCGGAGTACATCCCAGTAAGACGTATCACCGATGCATTCACTGACCCCTGTTGGCTCAGGATGTTGTCTGACTCTCATCCTGCTCTTACAGTCGGATCTCAGTGAGTGGCTCAGCGCCATCGGACTCCCCCAGTACCACAAGAAACTCTCTGAAAATGGCTACGACTCCATCAGCATCGTCAGAGATCTGACCTGGGAGGATCTGCAGGAGATCGGCATCACCAAGCTGGGTAAGGACCCCCCCCAGACAACCTCAGGGTCACTGTGAGGTCTCCTCTTTGATGGTTAGGTTCTTCTCCAGGTCACCAGAAGAAGCTGATGCTGGCGGTGAAAAAGTTGTGTGACATCCAGAAAGCAATCCTTCATGCCGAGTCCAGTCATGGTACGCTGCGGCGTAAAGCTCCAGGAGGACTCCACCTGGTGGCCATCGAGTCTCCTGACGCTAGCAGTGAATGCTCTTCACCTCACACCCCCATCATGATGACATTCCAGGACAGCGAGCTGAGCGCAGAGCTGCAGACAGCGATGTCAAGCCACTATGGGGGCTGTGAGGAAGGTTTAGCCATCAAAGCTGCCGTAGGGATGTCCCAGAGCCAGGAGAGCTTCGACACGCGGTCCAGAGGCTCTGGACGCTCCCAGGAACCTTCCTCTGCTTCCGTCAATCCCCAAAACTGGTCCCAGGAGGGCAGCCTCACCAAGGAGCGGAACATCCCCGAGGGCTGGGACCAGAGACCATTACATCATCAACCACTGCCCAAACAGGTCCCTTTGGGGACCGCCACTGTGTTCAAGTACCCGGCCATCCCAGCCAAGCCCAAGCTGTCTGGATCTCGAGGTTCCTCCCCTATTGGATCCCCGGCCCTGAAGGGCTTCAGCTACCTGCATTCTCAGTGTGGCTCCACAGACCTGGACTCATCTCACAGACCTCAGAACATGACGCTGACACCACCCAACAAACGCACCCACACCAAGACCCGCTACACTCTGTCTGATGGAGAACCCGATGAGGATGACGATGAGCTTGCGGTTCCTCCAGGAAATATTCCATCCTATGCCACGCTGACCCGGAAGCCCGGCCGCAGCCAGCTGGCCCGACTACAGTCGAGCTCTGAGAAGAACGGCAGCGTAGGACGCAGCCAGTCGTTCGCAGTGCGGTCTCGGAAAAAAGGTCCTCCCCCTCCTCCCCCAAAGAGACTGAGCTCGGTGAGCAGCACTACCAGTGGGGAGCTGAGCGACAGCAGCACCACCTCCTCCTCCGGCGGCGTTGTGACCGACAGTCCAGGTAGCGTCAGGAGCATCGCTGCCTCTCTGGAGGGCAGCTCAGACAGGAAGAGCCTACCAGGACCCAAACCTCCACATCAGGACTCACTATCCAAATCTTCAAGCTCTTCAGGGGCCAGCGAGGCTGCAGCGGCGAGGAGGAAGGTTCAGAGTGAAGGTGTTCCCTGCCAGACCAGCAGCAGCACAGAACCGGACCGAGGGATAACGTCTGACTCTGAAGAAGACGAGGCAAAGGATCAGGGAATGGTGTGCTCTTCTTCCCCCCACAACAGCTCCAGTGAGTGCATCCCCTTTGCCGAGGAGGGCAACCTGACCATCAAGCAGAGACCCAAAGCTCCAGGTCCACCAAGGGCCGAGGCTGTCCTTGAACCTCCAGAAAAACCAGCAGACACCACTCTGGAGGTGCCAGAGTTCAACCTGAAGGAGTCAGACACAGTCAAGCGGCGCCATAAACCCAAAGACAAGGACCAGGGTGAGGGGTCCCCCATCAGAGCGGGAGGAGAAGCAACAGACGCTGACACTGGGCACAGCAGACCCCCTTCCAGGAGCCAGGAGGAACACGGTCTAGAGAGACCGGAAAGTCCAGCTAGAGGGTCCCTGATTAAACCTCCAGTCTCCACAAAACCCACTGTCACCCCTAAACCAGTACGCCACAGCCTACTGGCTGCTCAGGGTGAGACTGAAACACACACACGCATTCTCATCCAGCATTCTTTGTGAGGACCGTCATTGATTTTAGTCTCTGGATTGGGCCTAACCCTCGCCGGTGTAATTCAGGGGGTCCACTGTACTGGGACCGGCTTTTGGTCCTAAGTAAGGATGGTTAAACCAGTCCACCCACACCGTGGTTCTGGAGACTCTGGTAAAGTCAGATCTCGACCTGCTGGTCTCACCGTGGTCTTGGTTTGGTCTTTATAGATGTTACAAGCCATCTTCCCAAGCTAGCCTAACTCAGGTTGACTTGTATTTCTATTGGTGCGTGGGCGTGATATTCAGCCGCTCTTTAAACCGCCTGCACGCTGTAGGAGCTGATTAGCTATCACCGCTAACCTAGACTCTGATTCTGGCTAAACCAACGTCCTGCAGCTCAAGGGAGACCCCGTTTACTCACACTCTCAGTCCATGAGGCGTATGTACACTTCAGGTTAAGACCCTTGCCAGCTCTTCCTTTTATGTCGAGGAGACACCTGACTTTACCTGTAGCCTAGCATGGAGGAAACACATATCAATGACACCTAGGGATGGCATTTATAACCAGCATCTCACCGTTGCTCGGTTACCGGCAGGAGGAGACCCCACTCGTAAATCCTTTTTTCATTCCTCGAATCCGAGGAACTAGGTTTTATTTCACACAGATGAAAACAGAGTAATAATCCAAACGAAACCCTGACACAGCGGGTTAAAAAGTGAAACAACTCTTTACCAATAAACCGAGTTATAGCAAAGTTGAGCTGAATAAGCTCTCCAAGAATGACACTAGGTCAGATTATCACAGACAAAAAGCTCCTTTCCATCTCTCTACCTCACACACTCCTCCCATCAAGCTCATCTCTGTCCCCCCTCCCTCACAGCCATTTCTTTGTTTGCTGCCTCAGACTTCCTGGTCACGTGTTCCTCTTCTTCTTGTTACTTCTCCAACGGACCCAAAGAGACCATAAATCTTGGATGTCATGATGTCACCTTTTCTTCTCCCAGTCTTCATCCGTTCACACGTTTCTTCTTCTCAGCGCCTCCTGCAGGATTCCTTTCTTCTCCTTCTCCTTTCGTAGCATTGGTCAGCAGAGGGAGACGTGTGGTTACTCCTCCCTTTTCTTCTTCTGCCCAGGGTCAACTGGTCCTCTCCAACAGACATGCGTACTCCCAACATCTTCTCAGGTCGACACGGGTTATATCCACAACATGAGTCTTTTAACCATATCAGCAGAGTGAAGGCACATCATTCAGTTACGACATCACAGTTCAGGCGGCCGCTGCCAGGACACACACACACACGCACACGCACACACGCACACACACACACACACACACACACACACACACACACACACACATTAACAAGTGTGATTATACTCCATACAACAACTGAGACTTGACCGGCCCAGACCCGTTTGGTATTGAACATGCTTCTGTCCAGCAGGACGGTCCTCTCCAACCGTGACTGTCAGCGTGGTCCAGAGCGTGGCATTTGCCTCACCGGCCCATGGACCCCCAGCCTTGGTGATGGTTGCTCAGGCTCCTCAGAGCCCCTCTGTGGCTACGTGGAGACATCAGAGCTGTCCTGTAGAAGCGAGCCTCGACTCTGATTCCTCCAGCGAGACAGAGGTGGTCCAGCAGAGACTGGATCAAACCAGCACGTCTCTTGCAGCGGCGCTAAAGGCGGTTGAGAAGAAGCTGAATCAAGAAGACCGCTCTGACGGGTCGGTATCACTTGCTTCCTTCTCAGTGTTTTACTCGGTAGAAGTGTTGGACAGTCATGACCAGAGGCGGCTGGTGAAATGTGTTTTTTTGGGTGGGGCGTAATTTACCAGGTGTGCAGAAAGATGCATGCCGGCCGAGAGTTGTGTGACCTGTTATGGGAAGGTGTAGACCAGTAACAGCAAAATGGTTCCAAAAATGTGCTTAATATTCACCAACATACGCAAATTCAGCTTAAAACAAACAAAGCTAACGGAAGTTAAAAGCATTAACTCAGTTTAAGGTTGTAATAATCCACTTTTTTACATGCAGGAGTGTTCAAATGTCTCTGGTGCCTCATTCCATCGTTCTCCGGTTCTTCTTAATAAACTAAATCCACGAGGTGTACTCAGCTGCTCTGTAACCAGGGACTGTGAACTGGAGGATTTCCGGTTCTACCCAGACCTGAGCTGAGACTCTGCCCTGCCGGTCCTCTGCGCGTTACACCCTGCGCCCATAGGGATCCAGCGTGCATGCGCCAGTTAGCGTAGGTCTATGGTAGAGACTGCTGCACCCAGTAGTAAAAGGAACTTTATTTAAGGAGCCATACTGGATAATGGGACTTTCTGGTGAATAACACATTCACAAACGTAGATATGAAAAAGTGAAACCTTATGCATGCCATAACGAGTGTCTTTCTTTCTCCAAAGCCCTTACTTTATAAAACGTGAACATGCAAGCTTAGTCTATTTGGAAAGCATAACCTGCTAACAACGCCCTAGTTTTTCTTTTTCTTTTTTCTTTCTTTCACAAATATTTTTTGCTTCCTATAAAAAATCCCTTTTGTTTTTCTCGGCACCTGATCTTTGGAAGAATTTATGCCATGTTTGCAAATGAAAAAGTTCTATAATAAAAAAATTTAAAAGTAAAAGGAAATATGTCACACGACAACTCGGTAGTGTTAATAATGTAAATGCAGCACTTTTGTAGTCTATGTGACGTAGAAATGGTTTAGTTTAATTTTCACGTTGTTTCATATATTTTGCGATTCCTATCGTCTTCTTCTTCCTGTGAGACTGGTGAGGCGGCGCCCCCTATGGACGAGTTGCCACTGGTCATGGCCTGTAGCGAGTCCCCCTTCCTCCTCTGGGTGTAGCTTGAACGGTCTGTATGTCCTGTCTCTCCAGCCCTGTGAGCTCTGTGAAGTCTGCAGGAACCATCTTGGATGACATCGGGAACATGTTTGATGACCTGGCCTACCAGCTGGATGCCATGTTGGACTGAAAATCAAAACCTCAGGAAGTGAGACGGAGGAGCAGGGTCTCCAGCCGCTCTGAGCTGCAGGTGGAGGACTTCCAGAGGCTCGTCTGGTTTCTCAGCCTGCACATCAGCACTCGACCCCCCACGGTGCATTCATAACCAAACTCACACCGGGTCTCTCATCTCCGACCGGCAGCCGGATCGGGCTTTTGCCACTGCAGCACCAACCGTCTGAGTGGCTCACTGTGAGCAGAAATGCCTCCACAGAGAAACCTTTTACTGTATAAACACTAATATCTGAACAAAATTTAATGTTTTTATATCTGAGCTGATGAGTTCTTAAGTAAACTACAGTTAATCAATTAATTCATTTTTTAATGAAGTTTCAGCTCTTTGGACCTGGAATGGATGTTCTCTAGTGGCTGTCACCTTCAGACTAAAACCACGGTTAGTTTGACTCCTCTAGCTGCTGAAGCTCTCTGGGATCTGATTCTTAGCACCTTGTTCTGGTTCCTGGTTCCAGGCTCTTCTCAAAGCACAAAACCTGCACTGCAGGCGGTCCCTCGGGAGACCAAGAGCAGCAATCAAGAATTCTAAAGTTATTACGAATGAACTGAACAAACAGAAATGATTCTGTACAGAATGTGTTTATTGAAATGTTTGTGTTGTATTTATCATTCTGCTGTGCTGCATTCAGTCTCCCGCCGTTCTCTTTGCACATGATTTCTAGTGTGTTTGGATGCTTCTCTACTCGAAGGCATTAACAACGCGGTTAGTGTTTAAAGGTTCCGGTTCCTCTACATCCTCCCAAAATATATTTATTACATTATTATAACTGAACAACTTTAATATTTAAAACATCCCATTATGCCGTTGTGTCCTTGGGCAAGACACTTAACCCACCTTGCCTGCTGGTGGTGGTCGGAGGGACCGGTGGCGCCTGCGCTCGGCAGCCTCGCCTCTGTCAGTGCGCCCCAGGGCAGCTGTGGCTACATCGTAGCTCACCCCCACCAGTGTGTGAATGTGTGTGTGAATGGGTGAATGACTGATTGTGTTGTAAAGCGCCTTGGGGGGTTCTAGGACTCTAGAAGGCGCTATATCAAATACAGGCCGTTTACCATTATGTCCAAACTGAAATAGGCTGAAGACGAGACTTGTCAGCTGTTCCATCCTCATCCAGCCGTCTCACCGCCGCATCTTCAGGCGTTCTGGTTTCTTCCTGCTGGACTGAACTCGATCATTTCCTCTTCTGTCGGCTCTCCCAGCTGATCGTTTTTTGTTTGTCATATTTAAATATTTTCTACCGGCTGATAACGGGGGAAGCTCTGTCTGTGTTGTTTTATAAAGGGAAGAGAGTCACATTGAGCTCACCCGTCTCTGTATAGTGAGAGGAAATAAAAGACTTTATATTTTTCTGTTCATTTTAGCCAGAGTAGTATTTAAATGTTTATTTTTCTGGAGTTATAAACAGATGCACATATTCAACCAAAGCTTTGTACTTTTACTTTGAAACATTTCCTTTTAAATGACTGAATCCTCTTGTTGTTTAAGTGTTGTTTTGTGTCCATGTTCAGCATGCTATAAGCCGTTAACCTGGTGTCCTACTGTGGTCATGTGACCTGTGTGATGATCAGGTGACCTGAGGAATATCATCACAAGATGAAGAATCCAAATGATCAAAACTAGTTTGGGTTTCTGTTGATAATAGCGATGTATTCCTGCCTCTTTACATTAAAATGACTTTACAGATAAAAGATTAGTTGGCTTTTATTGTGAAAGAGTTACCGGAAGTCATCAGTAGCTCCGCATCAATGTTTTTACATAAAATGTTTATGAATTATAATTTGAAGATGTAAATTGAATAATACACTCTAAAATACTTACTGTGTTGTGTTTTTTTATTGTTAAACTTTCAAAATAAAAGTTGCAAACAGGAATATTGTTTCTGATGTCCAGAAGAGGGCTGAGTTTTAGGGCCATGATGTCTTCTGTTTCGTCGATTAACCCAAACATAATAAATGATATATCTTGGAATGGTTAACTTGGGAAATTATTTTAACGAAAATGTTATTTTTATTTCTGAGAGAATAATTTATTTTCATTAATAAACAAGAAAACAAGTGATTGCATACGTCAGGGCTATTTAATTCTGGGCCTGGAGGGCCGGTATCTAGCATGCTTTGCTGGATACCGGCCCTCCGTGCCCTGACATGAACAGCCCTGCATAGGTGGTCATCAGTGTCTAACCCTCGTCCTGCTAGCCCACCATCCTGCAGATTTTAGTCATTTCCTTTATCCAATACTGCATACCTGATTTAAATGAGGTTGTGATTAACAGGCTTCTGTAGAACTCAACGGGGTGAGGAGGAATTCATTGATTCAGGTATGTTGGAGCAGGAAACCTGCAGGATGGTAGCTCTTGAGGAGTTTGGAGGTTTATCTTATTAAGATTACCAGTCGTGGTGGCGAAATGAAGCCCCATGAAGCAATGAGGCTTTTCAGCACACTGCTGGAAACTTTATTTGCTCAGCCTTATATACTAATTAAGTAATCCCGTGTGGGGATCTGGGAGGGGCCTTGGGGATTGGGTCCTGACATGTATGCTGCCGGGAAGAAGGCGGGAACATGCGGCAGCGCCTGGCCTAGGTTCAGGGGCCTCAGGTGGACCTTGGTTCCTCTGAAATAATAATTCTGTCCCATCACAGGGGTGGGAGATGTTCAGGAGGGGGAGGACCCAACCTTACCTGGATGTCTTATGGCTTATACTGTATATTCTGGAAATTGTGCAAATGCAGGGATGGGAGTATATACTCTGCTGGGGTGGGGCTGAGTTGGTGCCCTTGGACTCCGTGGGGCTCTGCAATGCTGCAGTTTTGGACCCTGGTGAGATGGGCTGGGGTCTCCATGCCCTGGATGGCATTTTGGGAACAGAGGTGTCTACTGGGGCCAGTGGGGAGCTGGCTCCCTGGAGGGCTTAGGCCAACCAGCCATTCCTCCCCATCCCCATATGTTTTTCTCCTCCTGCTCCCTCACATCATCACACAAACATGCACATAGGACCTTGGGGGTCAGGGGGTGCAAGTATGGATCCCATTTCTGCATTCCTGTGGCAACCTGCCCCAATTTTATTTGCACATTAAACACTTCCACCAACGACATTCCACGCAAACACACACTTAGGGCCTTGGTAGTGAGAATACTCAACGACATTTGGCAAGGGGATCTTTCAGCCTCATCCCGAGTGCCGGTGCCCACTTCCAATTTTAACTGCGTTTAGACACAGAGGGCTGTGGGTGCAAGTGGGGTGGTGGGGTGGCATCAGCTGGCATAGGCCAGACGATGCCCGCACTGCCCGCTCACCACAGCCATGGAATAAACATCATCAACACGCACTAACACCATATTGGAGCAGGCGGAGGGAGACTAGGGGTCTTAGCACACCTCTGTTGTAGCTTGGCTTCCCGGCGCTGGAGGCTAGGAGGGAGAGCTGGCCGTCTGGTTGGGGTCTGGGGTGGTGGGATGCTGTGCTTAGAGTTGGGCGGGGGAGCCTGCTCATCAGCACCCCAGCAGAAAGGGTCGAACTATGGTAACCGGTGGTGGTTGTACCCCATGTGCAGCAGTACCGGGACCAGAGTGAATAGGGTGTGTATGGGGAGCATGAGTGTGTGTCCGGCATGCATTTTTGTAAGTCTTGGGTTGTATGTGTATGTGTGAGCATGAGGGAGGGAGTGTGTGACTGTGTGACTGTGTCTATGACTGTATATGTCAGGTGGGGTCTTGGACTCCTCCGCTCTCCTGGAACTTCTTGTGCTGCTACACATTTTCGCCTGTACCCCCTTCTATTGGGCTCTGTTGGGTCCCTGGCGAGGCTGGTCACCCCTGGGTCCCGGGTCGCTGGGTTCCGGGCTCGGCCGGCTAGGGGGTGGGAGTCTGTGGGCTTGCTGCTGATATCTCCCGGGATTCTGCTGGCTGCTGGTTGTGACCCCCCAGGGCAATCCTTTGTGCCTCTCGAGAGGGGGTAGGGGATTTTCTGGTAACAGTTTCCCTGGGGTCCCTGTGCTCTGGGACAGCTCCTGGATCTCTGGGACTTGGAGCTCCCTCCATCTCCTACGCATCTTTTGGGGGGGCAGATCTGTGGCCCCTCACACTCTCTGTTGGACATTCCTATAGAGGAACCTTACATATACCAGCGCGTGTACACACACAGGTGTTCACATGGCGCTCTCATAAGTATGGACTTGGACGTTTTCAACACATATCTTAAGGCTGTGGTTGGTAAATGCTAGGGGTGGGTGCAATTAATCGATGTGGTGATGCATCTAAAAGCTTAACATGTTGTTTCAGCATCGATTAATGAACGTTGATGCTTAAAAATACATAACATCAACGTTTTGTTGCGAAGCCGGTACTAAAAAAATAAAAACATGTAACCGGAGCCTTAACGCGCACCGTCAGGACTGTTTAGTGAGTGGCACTACCTCTTTCTCCATCCTGGAGACTGTCTCCAATCTACCGAAGAACTCGGAGAAGGCGAGGAGCATTGCAAAAGCAATAGCTACTTTTATCGCAACGGATTTACGCCCATATTCAGTAGTAAACAACAGGGGGTTTCGGTTAGTGGTGCGCACCATGAAGCCGCGCTACAAACTTCCTCACCGAAAACACTTCGCAGAAAAAGAAGTCCCCCACCCCTACAAGAAAACCAAAGCAAGCGTTCTAGAGTCCATGAAGAAGGCAACCGGGATAGCGCTCACATGCAATGCATGGACATCGGTTGCCACCAAATCCTTTGTTACTGTAACGGCGCATTTTGTTCGGGGAGGAGGGCCCCTCTCTGGGTCGTAGTCAGGGGCTGGTAGTGGAGCCCCCGGGCCTGGGAGGTCACGGGGACTCGGGGATGTCTCTCCATAGCTCAACAAGTTTGGAGCTGGCGGAGGACCCCTGTCAGTTGCGGGCGATTTTGCAAGCGGCACTGGCCAGGATTGGACTGGACGACGTGCTGGTGGCCCGTCCGGCAGGGAATCCCTTCTTCCGCCGGGCTTCGGCAGCGCCCCCGTATCAGGTCCCACAGTCGCCAGCCTTTGTGGAGGAGCTGCAGCGGTGCTGGGGGACCCAAGGCAGCTCTCCCACCACGGTAGGGATGCCAGGACCCTGGCATCGATGCGGGAGGCAGGAACCTACGGGTTGGACCGCATTCCCCCGGTGGACCACTGCGTTGCTTCTTTTGGTGCTCTCCCCGGATGAGGCATTGAGGGACAGGGTCCGCTGTCCGAGCACCCAGTGTCGGGTGACTGACAGCTTACTGTGCCGGGCTTACGACATCAGGGCAAGGATGGCGCGCACCAGCAATTCGCTGTCGGTGCTGTTGCTATCCCAGTCCCAGATGCTGCAGTCGGATGCAGCGGGGACAGCACTGGGCAATACAAACGACGCAGACCTGCAAGCGTTTGGGCTGATGTCCAGGGAGCCTGGTCGGCTGTTGGGCACACTGGTAGTGGCTCGCCATCAGGTCCGGTTGGCGCAGGCCCCGGTGTCGGATGACTGCCGACAGAGCAGGCTGCCCGTGGTGCCGGACCAGTTGTTCGGGCCCGAGGCTGAGAGGTCGTTGGAACGTCGGCGGCAGTCCAGACAGGCCGCAGAGGCCTGGAGTGGGCGTAGCGGGGCAGGGGTCCTCCCGGTGCCACAGTCCAGGCCACGAGGGGCACGGGACCCTCGGCGCCGGTTTTGTCCGGCCGCCCCCTTGCAGGTCACCCAGCAGACCGCGGCAGGGACTTGGAGACGCTCGGGGGCAGGTCAGGCACCTACCCGGGGATCCTCGGGGCAGGACAGGGACCGCCGCCCCCCCAGGGCCCCAAACAGGCATCGGGACATGGCCTGAGGGCCGTGGGCTGGCGACGGGCAGATTTTCACCACAGCACCTGGCCCTCTGGGAGGCCCAATGCGGCGACGCTTGGGTGGTTCGAACCATGTCCCAGGGCTACAGCTTGCAGTTCTGCCGTCGGCCCCCAACCCCTTCGGGGGTCAGGGTGACTTCGGTCACAGATCCTGCACGGGTCAGCATCCTGATGCAGGAAATAGATGGTCTCCTGGACAAAAGGGCCATAGAGGTCATTCCGCTGCATTTGCAGGCAAACGGCTTTTATTCAACGTATTTCTTGGTACCAAAGAAGGACGGGTCCCTGCGGCCGGTACTGGACCTCAGGGGTCTCAATCGGTTCCTGAAGGTGCTGCCCTTCCGCATGCTTCGGATTCACGATGTCTTTCAGGTGGTTTGTCCAGGGAAGTGGTTTACAACAATAGATCTCAAGGACGCATACTTCCATGTCCCGATCCATCCGGGGCACAGGAAGTACCTGCGGTTTTCTTTCCTCGGGAGGGTGTACCAGTTTCTGGTTCTGCCGTTCAGCTTGTCTCTCGCCCCCCGAGTTTTCACACGGTGCGTGAAAGCAGCCCTGAGCCCCCTGTGTCGGGCGGGGTTGAAGGTCCTGCCATATCTCAATGACTAGCTCGTCTGTGCGCCGTCGTGTGGCGAAGTGGGTCTGGTCACGGCCAGTGTCCTTGCCCACGTCAAGGCGCTGGGGCTGACGTGGGCAAGGACAGTTCGTCAGGCCCGCAGTAACTTTCACACAACCTACCGGGGAACGTAACACCACCCCCCCTCACACAAGTTTGTTGTTATCCAACAAACTTCAGTAACATCCACCTTCCCTCATCTTTCATTCACAGGCAGATATGCGAGACAGACAGTCTGCAATAACATTTTCAGAACCTCTCTTATGTCTGATATCCAAATGCTACTCTTGCAACAGCAGAGCCCAACGCATTAACCTTTGGTTCTGATTAAACATCCTTGACAGAAAAATCAATGGATTATGGTCGGTATAGACCGTTAAAGGTTCACCACCGACGCCTACATACACGTGAAAGTGTTGGAGGGCCATGAGCAGTGCCAGAGTTTCCTTCTCAATCGTAGAATACCGAGACTGGCAAAAAGTAAACTTTTTAATAAAAATACGCAACTGGGTGAACCACACCATCCTCA